GGAACGCGGAAAGCAGCGGCGGCACCGGGCAGTCCCGCCCGCATCTGCCCGCCGCTGTCCCTGGGCCTCGGCGGGAGCTGCCCCCCTGGGGAAGGGAGCTGCCCGTGTCGGTAGCGAGCGCGGGCCCCAAGGAGTGGGAAGGGGTAGGGATGGGATGGAGCAGGGAGGAGGGGAGCAACAGTGCTGGGACCAGACAAAGCGGGCAGGGATGGGCACGGGTTGTGCTCCTCTCCCTTGCGGGTCCGCCGCCGCAGCTCGGTGCCTGCGGTGTTACACACTTACACGGCTTCACCCAGTTGCCCGATCACACCACGACAGAAAGCAGGATAGGAGCTGAACTAGCAATACTATTTTATTTTAATTTTTAGGTGTGTACTTTGGGGTGCTTCTCTTCTTGTGGATTGTTATTTGCTGCTGTCAGTCCGTCGGTGCAGGCTGCCAAATGGACATCAATTGGATGTGAATGGACATGATTAGGACGAGAGAGCACAGTCTTAAGGTGTACCAAGGGAGATTTAGGTTGGCCACGAGGAAGAATTTCTTCACGGAAGGGGTGACTAGACACTGGAATGGGCTGCCCAGGGAGGTGATGGAGTCACTGTCCTTGGAGGTGTTTAAGGAAACATGGCACTTAATGCCATGGTGTGGATGACATGGTGGTTTTAGGTCATAGGTTGAACTTGATGATCTCAGAGACCTTTCCCAACCCAATTGATTCAGTAATTCTGTGGCAGTGGGAGATAACAACTACATGGCCTAATAGCTGTACTCCGTGCAGTGAGGAAGCACCTGACCAGCAAGTAAATGCTGTACAGAGTATGCCTGCATGGAGAGGCGATATGATATCTCAAGAGAAAAGTGAAAATACAAACGCACACAAATTCCCTTTTAAAAGTAGTGTAGGGAATTTTTAATTTTTTTTTATTTTTATTTTTATGCAGAGGAGAGTTTCACCACAGTTGGAAGGGTAGTTGGTCAGAACGAAGTGGTATAATGCTGGTAACTTCAAGCTGTTAATAGAAAGTTCTACCTGATGATTTACTCATGTTGAGAAACTATTTCTGTTATCTGGGAAAGCCACCTCCATAAGACAGGGTGGCCTCTTTGAATGTATAATAGGTGCCGAAGAAACTTTTGTCTCCATTGTATCTCAATGCTAAACCACAGAATTAGTCTGGTCCTAGCAGGAATGCAGTCAGTGAAGTAATTTGAAATCTTGGATTTTGCACGTTTTGGTGCTCGTGACAACACAAGATTTTAGATAGATAAAATTGCCATATATTCCAATGTTTTTTTAAACAGTAAAATGATAGGCTATATATGTGTAAAATGGCTCCTTTTTTGTGCCAGAATATATTATGGGAAGAAACACAGCAAATGGGCCCTGAGTTTGAAGTATACTGTAAGAGCTTATTAATTTTTAATTAATAATGGTTTCTACTTTCAACAAGTTGAGTGTAGATGTTGGTATAATCTAGGTAATTAACAGCAAGAGATGCTAACCTCTGGTAAAAGTATTCTGTTTTAGACTGTAATGTAAGGTTCCAGTGTTCCCTCTGTGCATTAGTGTACAAAGATAATTAAGAGATTTCCCATCTACTGTCTTTTATCGAAGGCACACATATTAAATTGCATTAATCTTTGTTTAGTGATCATACAATCTATTGGTTTTGCCATTTATACATTCTTTGTGATTTGTCAATGTTGCTGTTTGGTTTATAGTCAAATGAAAGAAAACCGCTCACTTGCTCCCAAATGTGAGATTAGCAGAGCTGGTGTAAACAGGAATTATTACTTCACTGGCTTTAAAAATCCAACTTGGTGTATGCATGACTTGCATGTACAACATTTGCTTCTCTTGAAATAGTATGAACTCTTGCCTATCATGTCGTTTTCCAGGGATGGCTCAGGGATGAGGGATGAAATGTGCCATATATTTTTTTTTTTTTCCCCTAAATCTAGTATCTGTTACTTGCTATGTTTTCACACACATCCTTCATTTCACAGCCCCTTGAAATCTCAAGTATTTTTCTGTGTACTTCCCACCTTTTCTCAGCAGTCTGGTTGGTGAATAACTCTGTCCTCTTTCTGCTTGTATGGGATAAAATGGTGGTTATTGAGGAATTGCATTTGCCAAACACCAAAATGAATAGGTAGAATTATAGAATATCCTGAGTTGGAAGGGACCCATCAGGATCATTGAGTCCAGCTTCTGGCCCTGTACAGGACACTCCCAACAGTCACACCATGTGCCTGAGAGCATTGTCCAAATGCTTCTTGAACTCAGACAGGATTGGTGCTGTCACCACTTCTCTGGACACCCTGCTCCAGTGCCCAACCATCCTCTGGGTGAAAAACATTTTCCTCATACCCAGCCTAAACCTGCCCTGACTCAGCTTCATGCTGTTTTTTCAAGTAATCATTAATTGAATAGTTTGCTTCAAAGCTGGAAAATAGATTTGTATACAAAAACTCCCTGTAAAAAGAGGCAAAATAGACTGACGAGATCTAGTGCTTTTGAATGCTTTAACTTAATTAGTGCCTTTTCCCATGAAATCTGTACAGAAGCTGTAAGACATTTTACTTCATCAAGGTTTGCTGTCCTTGGAAGAAGGAAATAGTGAATGACAGTCTTTCTGTATGTATAGCATGAAGAGAAGAAGGGTTATGCAGATTAGAAAAAAGGAGTTTGCCCGTATAATGGAAGTAGTTACCAATTAAATAATAGTCTGGATAGGAGATACTGTAAATAATGTGATGGACTCTAATGTATTTTGAAAGAAAATATCTCTTAAAAAAAAGTTTTATTTCAGGTCTAGTCCAGAGTGGTTCTCTCGAGTCCTGTCTGTCTTGTAAAAGTAGAGATAATATTTTGGTAGCCCTTTGAGCTGGTCTGACTTGGGACCTGTGCAGTCTTGCTGCCCCCTAAAGCAGGCACTGACCCAAGATGGTTTGGGGGGAAGAACAGACTGAAAACTACAGGTGCTTGCAAGAGTGTTTCATGTGTGGCTGGGCAAGCCTCAGGATTCATCTGGCTCCCCAGCAGTGCCAGTGGAAAGGTGTCTGTGAAGCAGAGAGGGATGGGCTGCATGGTGCACAAGATGGAAGGTTTCTTATAAGTGTGTCTTTTTATCCTCCTTGGGAGGAGGATAAAAGATTAGGCTTTAGTTTGGCATAATTATACCTGTACAAAAAAAAAAAAATAATATGCAACGGGCCAAATACTCAGCCAGAGATCAGAAGGCATAGTTGTATGGGCCTGGGTGAATCTCTTTAAAATCTTCAAGCAATTTGAGGGAGGGGGGAGCTTTCGACATAAACTTTGCATGTACACGAGCTCCAGAACTGTTATCTTGATGCTTTGCATAGACCTGAGTCTGCATTTTATCTTTTTTTTTGCCAAGTTGAATCCTTTTAATTAGAAATCAGCTTGACTTCTGGTAGTTCCTGAAAAAATCTCTTTGTGTCATCTGCCCCGACTGATCTGTATTTAATGTAATTCTTTCACTAGCTTATTATCCTTTAACCTCTGAAGCAATTTTTCATTCGTCTTTTAGCTCCACACAATTCTTAATGCTTCTTTTGAAATGCCAGAAGAATAATTCCTATTTGTATTGTAGTCCTAACGGTTATTTAATCCTTCTTTTATAATAGTATTGTCTTACATGTTATAAACTATATCTGATATTGTTTTTAACTCTTTAAAGCTAATTTGCCCCCACTTCTATTACTTAGACTAAAAAGTTTTCATTAAAGCTTTCTGTTCCTACTTACTTACTTTTGACCTTGTTGACCAATGCCAGCCAAAATTGGCAAAGTTGTGTCAGTGTCAAGGATTCCAAATTTTTACAGGTTTTATGAAATCATCAGATTGCTAGGGGGAGAATGACCCGAATTAACATTACCGCTAATGGAACATCTGCAGCATGATTTCAGGTTATTTCCTCTGTTAGACCTGGCTTAAACTGGCCAGCTAGCTGCCATACAGCCCTGAACAGCTGGATGGTTTTGCTGCTCTTGGGCAAGCTTAGATAAGGAGCACAGCCTGGTTTTACAGCAGCGCCACAAGAGCTGCAGGCTGTGACCAAAGCCTGGAGTTTGCAGTGCAGATGTGAAGTTGTGTGGGTTGCATATGTGAGATAAGTGATTCCCACCTGATCTTGAAGTACCACAGCTGAATTATTCTTAAAATTGAGATCTGTAAAGCCATAATTTCCATGGAGCAGCCTTTAAACCATGTTAATCAGTAAAATTTTGAGTTTGAAGGTGGTGTATATGCTGATCTAGCCATGATTCCAGGGCTTGATAGCAGAACGTTTGTTGAAGTTTAATGTATGTTGGCATGTTCTTTAAATAGATCCTTCTTTTTAAGAGGGGAAAAGTCCAGAAGGAGAATGTATTTGTAATCTTTACTTATATCTTACATCAAAGTATCTCTGCTTTGAAAAAATAACAAATTTCAGTTTAGAGTTGTTTGGATTTTTTTTTTTTTTTCTCTTAAGGGGGAGGGGTTCAGGGATTTTTTTCCCAGTGTCTGACTCGGGTTGTTTGTGGAAAATGTGATATTATTATTGGTTGTTGGCGTTCCAGGGGAGCTTGAAGTAAATCCGGCATATTGTCTTAATGCATTCCCTTTACTGACTATCAGGAGTAATTCATGTTGTTGACAGCTACGCCAACATGTGAAACTAAACAAAAAGCCAATAATAGGAGAGGCAAGAAAGTGAGAATCGAGTGCTTCATTAGTAAATTTTCTTTCTGTCATGAGCAAAATGGGCAAATAGTGCAGCCTGGCCTTATCTGTTGCCACAAGTGCCTTCTTGCTGGAAACGTTCACGCGAAAGAGAACTGTTTGTACATCTCTGTGTGTTTGTGAGTATGGGAACAAGCAACTGACCCAAAAAACACACTGTGGATCAATGTAGAGACTTTAAAAAGTTTCCATTTGTTTCATTATTTACCCTACTTTAAGCTTATGCTTCCAAAAACGCTGTAGTCGGGTCTCACTTGTACCCACTATAAACATTAAATACGTGGTTTGTCTGCCTGGTGGTGTGCAGCATTGTGGTAGTTATTCCTTGAGGTGCTTCTGCAATAGAAGGGTTACATCTGTTGGTTCAGAGATTACCACAGTGTGTATCCTGTGGTAATCTAAGCGGCAGCTCCAGCAGGGGCTGTTGAAGAAACATTTATTCTATTTTGAGACATGCTTAGTCATCCCTCTTTTGGCCTCCAACAGGTTACAGGCATTACTCCTTATTCTCTCTTAGTAAAGCTGATGGACAATTTAATGAGCAGGCCAGTTTGTGAGGAACAGTTTGTGGTGCTGGAGGATGTGAATTCATAGTCCGAGTGTGTTGTGTAGTGCCAGCAGAAATTGGAGAATACACTGCACATTTCGTTGTGCGTTGGTAAAACTCACAGTTTACATCACGCAGGTATGGAGCAGCTGCTCAATGTGGGACAAGCATATGTAAGAGGATCTTTATTAGTAGGGAATATGATACAGCCCTCCTGTGTCCTGTAGAGAACATTCAGCTATAAATGTTTCTTCACAGTTGTAAACAGAAAACTTTAATAAAGTAACTTGCCTTTAATTTAGCTTTTTCTAATTGTTAAACCTGCTTATTTGATTGTTTTACTTGTGTTGGTATAGGCTGTGTAAAACACATTGGTATCCTTAATTAATAGTATATTTTGTGTTGGGTTTTTTAAGTATGCAGATCTAGTACATTTTGTGTTTAACTGAATTGTTACTTTAATGAAATTAAATTTAATTCTCTTATCAGAATTAAAATGCTTTCTATGGGGACTTCTGCCCCTGATGCCAGGACTCTTTTGAAGACCTCGTTTGTTGCATGGTTTAAAGGAAGATGATGTTGTTAGTGAATTCTGAGCATCCTTCAGGAGGCTGGTGACCCTTCTGTCACTGGTGTGTGCTGTCATGGACAACTTCAAACGGTAACAGTGGTATTTTTGTGACTGTTTCAGATTAGCACTCTGATAGAGGAAGCAGTGGGTTAAGTTTAGGTTAACAGCCTAAAAGCTCATTCTTTTCACTCTGAAAACCATTTACACTGGTTTTTTAAAGGAAAACCATTCACAATGGTTTTAAGCAACTGTGTCTTCACAGTGGGAAGGTTTATCTTCAGGTATGCTTTCACAGTTGTTTACAGCGTGGGCCAAATTTCATATCATACTTGAATTAATTTTCCTGAGCCAGTGCAATTTTTTTTTTTCTTGTAATAAATCCCTAAAGATAATGTTTGTTTTGACCATTAGTTTTTTGTTGCTTGAGGGCTGATTTTAGCTAGTGTTTCTTCATAGTCTTCTCTTTTCGTAAACAAAAAATAAATGGGAAGTAAGGTAAAAAGTAAACGGGAAGCTGCACTTAGTAGCTTCCAACTGAACAATTGTCTTACAATAAAATACAATAATTTATTAATATTTTAGTAGTAGTACTTTGTTTAACATGATATTCAAAACAGCACAAATTGCTTTCTAAGGATGCTGTGTCTGCTCACTGTGTTTATTCATTCTGTTTTATCAGCTCTTTTTCAAAACACCACAAGCAGTTAATGCAACTTATAAAGGACTCCTGACTTCTTGCACCTTCCTAAGCCCTATCTAAATGTCACCAGTGTTTCCCATGTTAACAGTTCTGAGCATGTTTTACTACATGTGCCTTCGGCGCCGAGCTAGGACAGCGACGAGAGGAGAAATGAACAGTCGGAGGGCTATTGAATCGAACACCCGGGCCTTACCTATCAATGTTGAAATAGTTCAGTATGCCAAAGAAGTGCTGGATTTCAGCTCTCACTATGGCAGTGAGAACAGCATGTCGTATACCATGTGGAATTTAGCGGGTATTCCCAACGTGTACCCTAGTTCTGGTGACTTCACCCAGACTGCTGTCTTTCGAACTTATGGGACCTGGTGGGATCATTGCCCGAGTGCTCGGCTGCCTTTCAAGAGGACACCATCCACCTTCTGTAGCCAAGACTATGTGGAACTTGCTTTTGAAGAGCCAGTTTATCCCACTGCAGTGCACATTCTGGAAACCTATCACCCTGGAGCAGTAGTCAGGATTTTGGCATGCTCTGCAAATCCTTACTCACAAAATCCACCGGCTGAAGTAAGGTAATTTTTTTCTTCTTTATGATTTCCTGAAAGATGTTAAATGCTACAAATAGGGCTGTTTAGTGAACTTTGCTTCCTATTATTTATCAGTTTTCTATCTGACCCACTAAAATTTTCTTTATTTCTTCATGTTTTTAAAACTGTGGTGACTTGTTTTGATAGCAGTTTCAGAGACGTAGATGTTGTAGGAATTAATGCATCTCCTAATATCAAATTTAATTTGTGTGATGATAGTTTTGGTGTTGGAATTTTTATGGGCAATAATTACTATGTCTGTATAAAACACTAGTTTTAAGATGGCAGGTCTGAGCTCTTCCTCCAGTAGAAAGAGGAAATTGTGTAAAAGAGGTTGAGGATTTGTGGCTGCTGTATCATCCTGCTTCAAGTAGCCATGGACTTTTTCTTCTCTGCATGCTTTAGGTTGCATGTATGGTACAATCAGGCACTGTAACTATTCATATGGAAATGAAGCTGAAACCAGAAGTACGGAGCAGTCAAATAAAAGGTGATGCCATTTGTCTGATCTTTATTTTTGATCGGTCAAAGGGCGTGAGCTGAATTTGTTTTTACACTCACTTCAGCTAAAAGAAGCAGATTTGATCCTGTTGATTTTCCTTATATTAGGAAGTCTTGATGAAATTCTACTTGCAGGATCAGGGAATGGGGAATGGTAAGATAGTAAAGAAAAACACTGCGAGGTGAGAAGCTCTTAGTGAGGAGGTGAGATAATAGGAATAGAAGAAGAAAGTGAACGGGTCAAAGCATGTAGTTGTGAAAAAAAACTTTGGGAAAAGCCATCAGTATATGCAACTGAATTCTATATCAAAAAGAAATGAAATTATACCAAAGACAAACGATGGGAGAGCTGATAGAAGAAATACTTAACAAAATGTGTCCTGTAAAGATTAGTATGCCAACGAATACTATATTGCTATGATATACACACTTTGGTGGTATAAGCAGTGATTGTGTGGATGTTGGGTGACTTTTTACTGACTTGCCTTTTACAGATGCCACTAAAAGTTATATTTTTAGGTCTAACTTACTGTCCCTTGCTTCTTTATACTAGGCTATTGATGTTCATTCAAAAATCCTTGGAAAATCAGCTGTCATGGTTTATATTAAAAATTCCTAGTTGATATATTTCGTATGATTTTGTCATCTAATGTGGTTAAATGCAGTTGCTTTTTTTACAGGTCTAATGAGAGTATGTTGTGTAGTTCTGAAGTAAACAACTGAATTCAAGGAATGTCTGAATTCAAGTGATAGGTCAAAGTAATAATAATAGGCCAACTAACTTTAGAAGTATGAGTGCTTTTGGCACTGTAATACAGAACTTATTTACAGAATGGTATGTGGTGAAGGTAGCTTTAAGACTTTCAAATTCAGAACCTAATCTAAAAGGACTACTGGGCAATTACTCTGAACTTTCATTTTACTTCTTTATTTTATGATGTAGATTTTATTTCTTTATGGTGGAGCACAGAATGGAGGAAAGCTCAAAAATAGTTAACTGAAGGACCTGTTTAATTAGGTACCCCCCCCAAAAAAAGAAGAAAATTATACAGAGAGCTAAAAGGAGATGAAAGTGAAAATACTAATGTAAAACTTTGGGATATGTGCTTTATGACTTCTCTTGAGGTGTGGTCGGAGTGAGAGCTCAGATGCCTTTCTTTATAATAAAAGATGATGTTTCTGTAGGATCTTGCTTTTTAATTTGTGGGCAAGAATACCCCCTGTCCTGCCTGCTTAGGTTAACATTTATGGTTGGAAAAACGTTGTCTCAGGCATCCTTGGAAGGAGCTGTCTGTGCTGCCTCTTCAATACTTGTTAGTCTTGATGCTAGAGAAGTGTTAGGGAGACCTTTTTTTTTCTGTTTGCTTACCTTTCCTCAGCAGGACTTGTCTATTTGGATCTGCACATTTGGTTTGTCTCTTTACTTCTAAAGGAGGCAAATGTCTTATGTATGGTGTCTTGAAGGAAAGATGAAGGAACCCTTTCTCCACATGAGGGACACAATATTTCTTCTCTGTTCATTTGCTCACCTTCATGAGGAGAATCTGAAGAGTTGCAAGAGCACAGTCTCTTTTCTGTTTCTGTTCTTGGTCTCTTGCTTTTACTTCCAAAAATTCTCTGAGATATCAGCTAAGAATTCTTTTTTTGAAGATGGAATGCTGCTGTAATCTCAGGTGATTCCTTGTTTAACTGATGTTTTGATCTTGAAGCTCTGCTATACTATTTTCTTCTGTTAAAAAAGGCCATGACCTACTTACTCAAAAGGCACTTAGAACCTTGTTTTCCTCTTCTGACGATTTTGATGCTTGGTTTATTATCAATTAAACTTTTCAGTGCTGCTTTGTTTTATCAGCTGATGCTGTATTTGTTTCTACCAATGTAGAAAGGGCAGGTCATTAGGAAAGTTCTTATTCAGCAGTTCCTGCTTTTGATATACAAAGAAGGCCAAACTATTGGTGAAGTCAAAACTGCTGAGAGGAAAAAGTCTGTTCAGACTTGCTTAAATGTTATGTTTAGTGGATTATGCTGCTCCAACCACGTAATATTTTTTCTTTTTGGTTAGTATTTAAAACATCAACTCATCTAAAACTTTGCTGTGTACAAAAACTTCTAGGCTACATGAGTCTTTGTGAGGAGCTAGTATATCACAGTTCTTGCTCCAGAGAATTTTACATATTTTTGTTCAAAAATGGCTGACATCCACATACTTGGTCAATGTATTACTCACCTTATGCTTCAATGGCATGAAAGAGCAACTCATGCAGGTGCTCAGAAAATGGTCTTTGGTCATGTTCCTTCGTTGGTGGTGCACTGAGTACTGCTGTTGCAACTTGATGCAGCAGTGTGATGCTGTTTCAGGTGAGCTTTATTCACTGTCTTTAGAGGTGGGGTCAGATCTTCATGGAATGGGAATAAGCATTTACTTCTCCGAGGGTATGTAATTGTTTCTAGATAATCCTGGCCAGAACAGGACAGTTAGTTTGAAGTTTTTTTCATTATGGTTTAACCGGCATCCAGCAACTGGAGGATTCTCTGTCTTCTCATATCTTTTGCTGCTTTAAACACAGAAGGCATAACATCACTTCTGTCCTAATAAAACAAGTTTTAAAAATAATAAATGTCAGAGAAACTGCCGTTCTAAGACATGGAAACCTTTTGTGCTTTTCATTTGTGCCTCTCATACCTTGACTAGTGAGAAGTGTAGGGAGTTAGTATAGTAAATTATACTAACATTCCAAGTACAGGTTTGCTGTGTGAATTACCCGGGTGCAGAAAACCCAAGAAAAAATTAATGGTCTGAGATTAGGGAAAAGTTGTAATAAAAAGTCTCAGTTTTTATGTGGTGAAGAATTCAATCCCTATTTTTGATTGTGTTGTGCTATGATTATTATACTAATGTGGCTGTGGGACTTTGTACTAGTGCACATTCCATGTTTGTAGGGTTTGGTGACAATGCTGAGTTGTCACCAAGCTTCAGCAGTGAAAGAAGCAGAGATCTATACATGTGTGGTGGGGACAAATGCAGCTTGACTTGAACCCAAGCAAGACGGTTTTCTTAGTTTTTCATGGTGTATTAGATTGATGGGTAAGCTATAGCTAGCTTCTGTGATGAGAAAAATGAGTTTTTTTTCTTCTTTTTTTATCCAGAAGGCTTACTCATGATGATTTCCTAATGGCTTCTTCAGTGTCAACCCTTTTGATACATTTTGATATTCTTAATTGTTGTTAGTCTTTGTTTAAATAGGAGTTAGCAAGTCAAAAATAATTTTTTCATACGTTTTTCAACTTTTCCCTTTTATAAAAATAACTTTGGTTTTTAAGTTTGGAATATGAAACAAAAATTTGATCCCTATTCTCCTGTTGTGGTCTTTTAAAATTTAATTTGACTGTTTTTATATCATATTTGTTATAGTGATACTGTATATTCATGGGCTTTTATAAAAGCTCATAATCAGAGATTCCTAGCTAGTCTGGAATCTGTGGCTGTACTTGGGGTGATATTTCATAGCATACAGCCTTCCTGCTATGCAGTGATTGCTTCTTCAGCAGAGATTATTTTGTGATAATTTTTTCTTATTTTTCTGCAGATAAGGTGTGACACTTAAAAGGTTTTTTCTCAAGGATGAGATACCATGATCATTTGTCTGGGACCACTTCCATTCTGCCTTGTGTATTCCTGTTGTTTATTTCTACTTAATTTGTTTAATTTCATGTTGTTTCGAATTTTACTAGAAAATTGAGGATGGCTCAGTATTTCCAAGTTTAACTGTGTTTACTGTATGCAAAGTTTCTTTCTGTTTCTGAAAGTCTTGAAGCCTATAGAGGCAGAAGCTGCTTCAAGCCAGAGGAGCAGGCTAATGAAGATGGACAAAATTAAAGGCTCCCTCTCCTTCCAACGGGAAAGTTACTGTATTTAAGCAGCCTGAACAGGGATCAAAATGTTTGTTTGAACCTCTTTCCCCCCTTTTAAAAAAAGGGAGTGAAACCAGAAAGGCAGTGTACTGAATGTAAAATATCATGAGTTCTTGTAGAGAGTGGCATTCAGATGGTTCTTTCACTCTACCTTTTATTCCCTGGGAATCTCAGATGAAAACACCCTAAACATTGCTGATACCATCAACACATTAGAGTGTGATAAGGAACCTTTGGGCCTGTATCTCACCTATGTGCAACACACAAGTTCTAGACATCTGCATCCTTACTTAAAGCTTGTTTAGACGTCTTCAGGCAAACAGCTTTTTCTTGTTCAGATGCCTATCATAGAAAAATGAATTCTGGGTTTGTGGAATATAGTCATTTATGAGAAACTCCTAAAAAGACAGAGCAATTAGTTGAATTACCTTTTGATCTTTTATGTCATGAACAATCTTGGAGTCCTGTCTGCTGTCTCTGGTATTTCAGAATTGAACTCTTGGTAGAAATGAAAATTTGCTTCTTATTTTCTTATTTTATTTAATTAGACTGCTGTGAACTCTGCTTATCAGCTTAAGCTTAATGACTTTTAAAGTGTGCTCATGGTCTTCCCAGTCTTCCCTGCCTTTTGTGTTTATGAGCTCACAACTGAGGTCACGGGTACACTTTCCAAATTGGTTTGAACTAGTGTGCTGAAGCATCCCTGGCAGGTTTGCAGGCAGGAGATGTTTTCTTGTAGGTAATCTACAGATTTTTGCCGTGTGATGGCTTGACTAAGAGCAGCATGTGATTATAATTGTTGCAGAAGTTGCATTTTCATCAAAGATGTGGTTATATTCTGTGAGATTCCTTATATTCTCCTTGTTGGTCTATCTGGAACTCTTCCTTCTATTGAATTTCAACTCAGCTATTAGTTTCTTGAGGCAAGGCATTTATTGGATTGCTTGTAGTGCTTTTTTACTTTCTACACCTATCTTGATTTGACAATACAAGAAACTTCAGCAATTGCAGGCAAAGTCTAATCTTGTATTGCTGGAGAGAAACCTGATTCCTATTCCTAGAAGCCCCTTTTCCAAAGACTCTCTCTTATTACGTATATTTCTTCAGAAGTAACCATGTCTGCTCAAGCATCATGTTAACCATTAAAAAACCTTTCCAACACCATTCGGTCAACAAAAAAAAATAGGCAAACTTTAAATATGCACTATCATTTGACACAGACCTTTACCAGTATGATTCTCAGCCTAGGAATCACCAGACTGTATTTTCCTTCACGGTGCAGGAAGAGGAATGGGAATTTATTTTTTTTTTAATCTTTTTCCACATAGGTGTATGGAGTCTAGTATCAGAGAAAATTGAGTTCCTGTCTGTCTTCATGAGACAGTGAGAAATTTAATGGGAAAACTGAGTCCATGACTGAATGGAGAAACTCACTTAATGTCCTCCTTTCCTTCAGTCACTAGATAAAATAATACAGATGTTGCTGAATCTTATTCAGACTTTACCTGGCACTCCTTGCTGGGAAGACTGAGGCTTTCTAGCACATTGCTGATGAAACCTTCTGATTTAAGCATTCTCATTGTGATAACCTTGATCAGCTGTTACTATGTATCTGCGAGAGTGGAGGACAAACAATGTATTGCCTGAATTCATTTGATTCTACTTGATTTTTTGAGAGCTACCTAATTAGCTTGGGTTGTAGGGGAGGCAGAAATCTTTTGACTTCTTTAAAGGTATTTATTTGGATTCAATTTCTCTTTGTTTTGGGCTAGTTTATTGAGCGTTGTAAGCTTGAAACAGATGCAGGCAACCTTCTTAGGGAAACTGATTTTAATACATATCCTCAAACCAGGACTGACTGTACAAAGGCCTTTCTTATGAAAGATTTTTAAGTGGATTACCATAACAAAAGAATGATCCAGAACAGAAGAATGAAATTCTTGCTGAAGCCTCTTGGTAAGTTAGACTTTACTGGTCCTGAATTCTTCACTCCCATTCCGATTACATGCAGCCTATTTCAGTGTCACATGGTGATCCTAGAGGAAGAGATCACTTCCACTTGTGGTAATGGGTGAAGAACATGGGAAGGATTTACCAGCCCTGACTCAGAGAAATTGCTATTGCCTGCTCTTGTGTGTGCCACCAAGGCAGAGAACATAATCAAATCAATCTGATAGACTTGAGGTTTTCCAGATAAACCAAGAGCTAATTCCTTTGAAGTTAGATTGGTGGGCTGTTGATGAAAAGTAAGCAGTAGGACTTTTGTTTTGTTTGACTTTGGTTTTGTTGTTCATCAGCATTTGAACGTGAAGCTTCACAAGATTGTGAAGTCATGCTACATGTCTTCCATTTTTCTCTAGTTTATTACAAAGGCTAGAAACTGACTACTGTTTTCGGGAGCTGGTTATTGCATTGCAATTTGATGAGCCCAGGTCTCCAGATGCATTATTTTTTTCCAGAGTTCTGCTGCTGCTAGATAATCCTCTCTCCAGGGTCCAAAAGGAGAAGTCAATAACAGACACATTCTGCTAGAAGTTGATGGTCCAATGTGTTTTAGATTAGTGAAAAAATAGCCTTGAGTTTCCCTTAGGATACTTTGAGTGGGTACATGGAAGTGTCTAAGCTAAATGTCAGATGGTGATCAGAAAGTGTTCAAGGAAGGTCATGTGCCTTGCCAGCACTAAGTATTTGCTTAGAGAATCGACCTATGTGAGAGGATGTGACAGTGGGACTACAGCTATTACTTTGCCATGAGTTGACATTCATTTCGTAAATTAATGAAATATTTTCTTAATACTATGTCTCTTCTACGAAAACTGTTAATTTTAGGATAGAGCTGTCCACTCTCCTATGTTGGTACTTTGATGTGCCATGCTCACTACTCTTCTATGTTTGTTTTTAGTTCATGATGTTTTTGGATTTTTTTTTCTTTGGACATAAGAGTTCTGCAAGTCTCCTATTCTACTATAAGGTACTCGGAGAGCAGCATGGTGTAGGATAGGAAAATTTATCTGTGCCTATCTGAAAATGCCCATGGTGAAATGGAAGTTTCAGCCAATATGCATTAATTTTCTTAATTTTCCTCCTAGCAAATATCAGACTTTAAAACCTTACATGCGCTGTGTGCAATGTTTTAATGAAAGTCGCTACATTGGTTTTGCTTTCTGTTGTAATGGAAAGAGTTTAAGCATTTGGTTCTGAAAGTAAAGCATGATTGATTTTATTTTCTAATTAATATTTCCCCTCTTAGCCTCACAAATGTTGAGCAATAATTATAAGTTCAAATAAGTTGTGTCCAGTAGGGAAAGGCAAGATGCTGAGGTACTGGGTAGCATATAGAGTGCTTCTGAGAGTCATTTGACAGGACAAGAAGTCTGAGAGAAATCCTTGAAGCTGGGACTAGAGTGATCAGAAATAGATGACATGCATGTAGAAGTGTCTGGATTAGTATCGAGGTAAGCATATTGTCAAAGGGAGTAGCAATAGTAACTGCTGGAGGCTTTCTTCTTTAGGAATTAAGTAGACTTGAGGAAGGAAAAATATGGACATAAATGTCTGAAGGATCTCCATTCACTGACTAAGCACCCATGCAGATATAAAAGACCATGTTTCTGTTTTCAGGCCTTTAGGCAGATTTGGGAGTGCTGAAGATCTGAGGAATGTAAGATTTGCTTCCTCCAGATGAGTCAGTTGGCAGCACGTTTCCCTGTCACTTATTGCAGGAAATTTGGGGTCTGTGTGTGAAAGTAAGGATGTATGTATGGTTGTTCTGTGCATACCCTGAACTTCTGTCTGTCACTGGATCAAAGAGGAGAAAGGCTTTTCAATTCAGCAGTTTGGAAATTCTGATGTCTTTTGCAAAGGACCCTTTCAAAAATGACTTGAAGTTTCTACTTTCTTTGCTAATTTTTCAGTGAATTGCTTCTAAAGGAACACTTTGCTTGCCTAGGCAGATAAACAAAGTAAAATTTAATTTTTTTTTAGTAATTTGTATTACTATAATTTGAACAGGCTTGATATTAAGCAGTCTGAGTGATGGGGTTTTTTCTTTTGTTTTATAGAAATAAGAGGTTAGATGACTCTTTTTGGGTTACATGGCAAGACTGTTCCATGTGTACTTAGACTAGCATGCCATCATTGTGAAGACATCAGTAATCCATTTGTTTTGATTACCTTACCTGTGAGATGTTAGAAGAACTTGGGCACAGATAACACTAATACAAGTGACTATGAGTCTACAGCTTATTTTGTTCTTTAGTGATGCAGGGAAAATATGCTAAGGCTGTGAATTAATGTGTCCTGTTACATTCATCCGTAGGATATTTATCAATCTAGGGAAAATGTAAATTTCATAAATCATCTTTTCAGCCATTTTTCTTGCTTGTTAAATACTTTTGACAGATGATGTTGCCCTCTTACTGTGCTGAGGAATTGCTTTAGTAACTTTGATTTTAATTCCTGTACTGTATGTCTGTCTCTTTTTTTCACAGATGGGAAATACTTTGGTCTGAGGCACCTACAAAGGTGAATGGTCCTCAGGCTCGGCAGTTCACACCTTGTATCAAACAGATAAACTTTCCCACAAACTTGATCCGACTGGAAGTGAACAGCTCCCTTCTGGACTATTACACTGAATTGGATGCAGTAGTACTACATGGTGTGAAAGAGAGGCCTGTGCTTTCACTTAAGACATCAATGATCGATATGAATGATATAGATGAAGAGGAGGATGAAGAAAAATTTGCATGTGGAATGGACACCCTTAATAAACAGTTCAGCATTGTTACCCTCAGGGAATGGCCAACTAATGGATATTTTGATAAACTGCCTTATGAGGTAAGAAAAGCATGTTTACTCTCAATCATTGTTTGGTTATTAAGGATGCAAAGGTGCATTAGAGGGTGTTGGTCACGATTGTTTTTTTCTCAGTTAGTTGCTTGCATTCCTTGTGAATCTCCTGCATTTACTGTATAGGTATGCCTGAATTCTGTAAGTCTGTCTGCTTCCATGGGTGGATGTTAGGTATTTGCATAGTTATTGCACTTTTAGTTCTCAAGAATCTGTGCATTCACACACAGTTTTTACACCAAGTTATTCTAGCCTTGAGTTTCCAGATCCTGAACTTAGAAGCTTTTAGCAGTTTTCCAGTAGGTTTTTAGTCCTCATGCTTGACAAAGAAGATATACAGAAGAGATATGAAAAGATTCAATCAACATCTGGAAGTGGAAGGAGTTTGCAATAGGCTAAACGTTTGTTTTCCTGTTTTCTTTCTTACAAAACTTACAGAGCTTTGTTCTTGAAAGTGCCATAGTATTTTTATATTATTATTAAATGAGCTTTTTCCATCCAACTAAGCTTTGAATTGTGGTGCAGGTAAAGTACCTTATAACTGGACTTCTGCATGCTGTCTTCTTTTTATGCTTGCTACTTTTTATTCTTTCATTAGCAGAGAAAACAGTTGTGAATTAACTCCTTTCAGATCCCTTGGCAACACGATGGTTGCAAATGTGCTCAGAGTCTGTAGATGAGTGTTTTGTTTCCTCTAATTTCCAGTATAATGAAATTGTGGAGTATGGTTGCTGAATACCATGTGCAGGCCAGGCAGTTCTCAGTGGGGTGCAGCTGTTTATGAAAGCTGGTACCCTGATTGGAGTTAAGAATTGAGAGATGAAACAATTTTTTTCACCTCTCCTGAAATAAACTGTTGGCACATCATGGAAAGGAGCCTTTACTTGCTGGTCAGACCTTCGGACTTGGGCAGAGACAAGATTATTCCTGCTCTTCAGTGTGCTGCAATCTGGCAAGTGTTCATTCACTGTGGTAACTCAGAAAATGCTCAGAGTGCTTGTGGCTTGAACCAGACTCACTTTTGGAAGGGAAGGGAGTGTGGTGAGTTGTGTTGCCACAGACTGAAGGGTGCTTGCAGAAATACTTGATCTAATCAAATAGTATTTTGGTCTTACCAAATCTTTTGACTTTAAGTACCCCAGTTTGACACATGAAGGCCATGGTTGGGTGCCCTAGTAGGCTGCAGAAGTTTGCAGTGCTGGTGAAGAGGAAAGAGAGTGGAAGAGAATGTAACAACTCTTGAAACCAAACCTCTTGAGTTCGGTTTGTTTGGGTTTTTTTGTTTGTTTGTTTGGGGTTGGTTTTGTTTGGGTTTTTGGTTTTTTTTTTGTTTTGTTTTTTTTGCTTGTTTGTTTTGATACAGTGGAATAATAAATGAAAGTACTAACTTTATCATGAATTAGCTCTAATGGTGGTTGGTTAGTTGTTTTTACCTCAGAGTACACATGGTGTTTAATATATTTTACTGTTGATTCTTGCACAGCAGTACTGAAGTAAAGAAAGTACCTCATTGTTTGAAAGTTTGAAAATATGTTGATTTTAGTAATTCAAGGAAATTAATTGTAGATAGAACTTTATTTGAATGTGGGGATTTTTCTTGTTTGAAAAGACTGGATAAATTGATTTGTGGTATACTAGTATACCAGAGAAATTGATTAATCTCTTTTCTGTTCTACGTGATCATGAAGGTTGGAAAAGACCTCCAAGATCCTTGAATCAAACCATAAATAGTTGATTACACATATTAAAATTTTAATTTAGGAAGTATTTTTTGTAGTCTTGTTACTCCTATGAACTTCTGTCTCCATGTACTTCATTGTGTTTATCTGCTCTGTTTGTCTACCAACTTCCTTTTCTATCCATTTTTTAACGTTTGGTTTCATGAATAAATTTATATGGTTTGTCAATCCCAAGAACATTTTTTTCCTTCTGCTTTGATTTAAAGAAACTGAAAATATGGGTGGGATATTCATCAGAAAACTACAAAAGACTATTTCTGTACTGGTTTTGTGACAGCAAAAATCGTAGTTTCCTACTTTTTAGTCCAGCTGAAAGGGTTGGGCATCAGAACAACAAAAATGTTGTACTTGGTAGCGTGACATATCACATTGGATATGGAAGAAGTACTCTTCATGCTGTATTTAAGACTGACAAATGTCAGATTTTTATGGGAAGTGTTCAAACTATGGATGAAGTAAGGCAATTGCTGACTTCTTCCGGTTTTGATTGATGCATTAAATGAAAAATTGTACATTTTCTGTAGGTGTATATTGATTGGCAATGTGTAACCGTCCTAAGTTTTCATGAACATGCCTGTTTCATATTTGAGCTGTTTGAAGCTTTTTCGTACTACCCTCTGTCATTCACAAAATACACAATCTGAGTGGGTTTTGCTAAGTGGGCAGCAGTTCCTTCAGTCTTTTATTTTGCCGTTGTTGTATTTCTGAAACTTCCATAGTCTATCCTTTTGTAGAGTATGTTGTTCCTCAGAATGGCATTAGGAATGGTTTGCTGCAGTGTGAACTCTAAAGGCGTTTTAAGATTGCTCCTGTCTAAAAAAGAGAAAAATGCTCAGCTTTCCGGGACACAGGCTTCTTTAGAAGAAACTGCAAATTTTTGGATGACCTAGTGAGAGAATTTTCCTTCCCTAATCTTGAATGGTGTTAACGAGCACTTATTAGCTGTGAAGTACTTGTGCTAGCTATGATCTCTTCTCCAGAATTACCTTAAAATTGAGGAAGGATTTTAGAGGAGAGATTTCATGTCCTTGTCTTCCCAGTTCATTGGCTGGCTTGTGCTGCTTTGTAAAGTGGAAGGAGTAAGGCCTTAGTCTTAGTTGGCTTTGTAGGAATACTTGAGGCCTGAAGGCCTGAACAAACTCAGAGCTTTTGGGAAAGCTGAGGAATACCTGCATACATGTTGTGCAGTTTGAGACTCACCAAAATGTGCTGGCTACTGAAAACCCAGCTTATTTTTCTCCAGAGAGGAGAGTCAGAAGACTCTGCGTGCTCCAGTCCAAAACATGTTTTTGTAAAAATTCTGGCATAGAAAGATATAAATGACGTCTTTGTCATTCCTTGAAGCTGATTTTTCTGAAAGCTGCCTACAAGCTTTATGAGCTGTTCATGTCTGCTGGTGTTCACATGCACTATTCAACGTGTGTGCACTTGCTGGTGCAAGTCATACTGTTGTGGAACCAGGGATATGTGTTTTCTTAAATTATGCTGACAAATGTCAAAAGCCCTAGAATCTCGTCTTCTTCTTGCCTTCTCTCTTTGCCTCTTTGTGCACATATCCTTTGTCCTTTACCTAAGCATGTTTTAATATCAGTTCTAATTAAATGGATTCTAAATTGTAGCAGCTCTAGCTGCAAGAGTCAAAAAATTGCAAGTTGCACATTTTTCTGTTTCCGAATGAGTGGTTTGCATAGGCCAGTGTATTTTTTAATTGGAAAACCATTTCATCTTCATGGAAGAACTGAAAAAGGAAATTTGTAGAAAGTACTGATATTGGTGTAGGTTTGACCAGCATCCAGACATTCTTTTCTGACAAAACCAAGTTGTGTGTTATTGTGCTCTAGCCATAGGAGGTATTTTATTAGGTACAAATGCTTGCAGTTGCTTGCTATTTTTCAGCAAAAAAGCTTGAAAAAAAGCTAGGGAAACCTCTGGTTCAATAAGTATTACTAGAAACTACACCATTGGTAAAGTTTTTCCCCCTGTACTGAGGAGTGGAAATTCTGTCTGGGCTTATAAGCAAACTTTGCAGTGGGTGAGAAGCTTAGTTTTCCCCTCTTTTTCTTTTAAGATGTTATACTTTTTATTTGGTGTTTCAAAAAATGTGCCTGTGAGATCAGTGCTGCAATCAGGCACTATCATGATATTAAAAATATGGATTGAGTAGGAATTGGGATCCTTTTTGTGCTCAGCACAAAATTTTGTGTACTTCTGTTTGTTGAATTGTGGAGAATTGTGATTTGGAAGCCTTCTGTTTTTGAAGGTGTTCATTCTAGTGGGCATTGATCTCACCACATGTTTAAAGCTGGCATGTGCCATGTTTGTCCTGGGAATGGGAGAGGAAGTACTTTTGTAGTTTTAGTCCATCATAGCCTAAAAAGGCAATTAGTGTTGTATAAATTATATTTTGTTTTCCTCTTTCTAGTGTTTTTTCCAATAAACTTTGTTTTTACTGATTGATTTATAAGAAAGTGTGAAAAAATAATGATTGTCATAATTTTTCATAAAATCACAGTAAAAACTGTTCTTTGTGAGAAACTGCATTATGAAATTAGCTCAATTCTGTAGCATTCTTGGAATCACCATGAACACAGCATAGCACAGTACAGCACATCATGTCACATACTCATTATGATATCAAAGTGTAGTTCATGCTAGGGTACACAGACACAAAAAGCATGTTCCTGACAGACACCAGACTCCAGGCTAATGGTGATTAATGGTTATTAGCCTGTATGTTTTGAACCTGTTATCTTTGTTCAATCAAAAGCCAGGGAAAAAAAAACACTTTATAACCTAATATCATAGGAGTGACATTTCATTGTATGTTTTCATTCTATATATTATGAAGTAGCATAATTTCATTAAACGTTAAAGACATGTTTTTTTGATTGAGGCATGGGAGATTTAATCTCAGTTGTGGAAAGGCATCCTGTGTGTTACAAAATACTCATTGAAGTCATCAATTAATGTAAATGGACATTGTTCAATCATTTATAGTTTCGTTCACCATTCTCTGTGTTGCTCAGAAGTTACAAAATAACTTTTTCTCATTTAATGAAATTTGTATTACTTTGCTTTTATCAGACATTATGTTGCATTAATTGTAGACATAAATTCTGCTAATTGTGCAGCCTCTGCTGAGCTTTCAGCTCTAGAAAACTTAGTAAGTAACCATGTGAGAAAAATCTGAGGGAAAAGGCATTAATAAGATAGATATTTAGTTGACATACATAGTGTGGATTAGCTGAAAGTTTGCAAAAATCAAGATATTAATTTGGGATTATGTCTGTTAGCTGCTAGTTAGTTTGGATATTTTAGGTTTCAAAATGTCGATAGTTCCTAAAGGTCAGTTGGGTGCAAACTTTGCTGATTATAATATAACTGGAGTAATTATATGTGCATAGTTATTTTTATATATATGCACACAGACACACACACACATATATAGATTATATCTATATATATCTATATATATATCTGTATCTATCTATATATATGCTATTACCTTGAAAGGTCTGTGCTGGTCCTCTGCATCAATCTGAGTTCCAGACACCTGCAGAAACAAAAGCCTGGACTGCTTTTAGGGGAAAGGACAAATAAGGAGAAGATGAAAGGCTTGAAACCAAGCATGAAAGAAACTGGAGTATATCAAACACTGTATTTTTGCGTCACAGTTGAAGTAAAATTTTTTAAGATATGTAGCTCTTGTTGGAAATCTAAATACTAAATCTGGAGCTGAGTAGGAAGTAACATTTTCCATTTTGCAGGAAGTTGAATTGTTTTGTTGTTCCAAAAATGAAGGGGGGAGGAGGGGAGGTGGAAAGTAGCTGCATAATAAAGTGATACATTGGAAGTACAATCTGCTTGAATCTCACAAAAAGCTCCATTTTCATTTTACGTCATGGATCTTATTCTGAGGTGGATTTGTCTGATGAATCCTTCTAAGACGTTAAAATGAAATATGTTGGTGTTGAAAGGACCACAAGATTCTCTTCCGTTTAAGTTGATTTGTGACTTGTGGATTTTTAATTTACACTGATTCATTTCAGCAATTTACTGTTTCCCCACTCTACTTGAAAATAGTCAATTTAAGTTACATAACTTGAGTGCAGGTACTTACAGCTGCTAGAGACAGCTCTGGTAAAGTAAGCATTAATTTTTACATTTCATTTTTCAAGTGCATTTTCTCTCAGTTCCTAAGCTAAAGGAGATTTATTTGGTTGAGCACTTTTGTTATTTCCTAAAGCGAGTATTTATGTCTGTGTGCGTGTTGATCTTTCCTTGGAAAGGAAAACAGAGTGTGACAGGAGAGGAGGGATATTTCTTAGTTTCTGAGAGTGATATAAGTTATTACAAAAACTGTTACAGTGATGCTAGTCAGAAAGGCTGGTGATTATTCTGAAGCGGAGATGAATCAGCTCATACAGTTAAAAAGGGGTTTTGCCTTTCAGATTTGACTCTGGTGTAGAACAAAAATGCTCTCAAAGTATTACAGCAAGGAAGAGATTGTAAAAGGAAATCTGATTATGTTGAATTTTTTACCTGGTTGCTTAGTCTAGAGGAGAAGATATAAGATAGAATACAAACCACTGATTTTTAAAGCAGGGAGAAGAGGCATAAATCTGAAATTGGTTCAGGGTGTGGGGAAACTGGGACATGGTATGGTTTTTCCATTTTGCAAATATCTCCCATCTTAAAAACCAAATACAGAGAAGGAGGATGCCAGTTCTGTGTTCTGTTCAATGAAAGAGCAGACTTAGCGAAAGGAAATATATAAACATAGTGTTTACATATATATCACTGTTTAAATTAGCATGGTAAAGAAACTTCTGATTTGAAAGCTTCCTGTCACTTTCATATGCTGATCTGCTTTTTCCTTTCTTGTTTAGCATGTTGTCAAATTGAGAAGGCAGTGCAATTCTATTTAATAGTTAATCGATTTATTTGAGGAGTTACTTTTAAGTAAAAGGTTTTACTTTCTTTAAAGTTATAACATATTCTCTTATTCCTTTGCAGTTATCCCTTAACATTTTAAGTGCCTTATGACCATCTGTGACTTTTTTTCCTGTTTTTAATATAGCTCATCCAGTTGATTTTGAGTCACCTTACAGTCCCAGACCTGTGTAGACTAGCACAAACTTGTAAGCTACTGTATCAACATTGCTGTGATCCTCTACAGTACATTCATCTCAGTTTACAACCTTACTGGGCGAGGATTAATGACACATCCCTGGAGTACCTACAGTCTCGCTGCACTCTCATCCAGTGGCTGAATTTATCTTGGACTGGAAACAGGGGAGCCATCTCTGTTTCTGGATTTAGCAGGTCAGTGTTAAATGTACAGAAATGTTTTGACAAGCTCTGTCTGCAGAGCTGCTGCACGGTAGTTTCACTAAGTATTTGAAACTTTATTAAAAGGCGAAAAATGTCTTGGATTTACTATAAAGACTGTGATTGTTACAACATAGAAAAAAGAAACAGCTAAAACAGTAGGAGATACTAAATATAGTAGCAGAAGTCCATAGCAGTCTGTAGAGTCTGCATGTTCCAAGCTGCTTGTGACTGAAACGCTTCTTCCAGGGGAAGGAGTGTTTTTTGCTTTCTTCTGGGCTTCTAAAACGCTCTGCTAGAACTGAGCTATCAAAAATCCATCTCACAAGGAAAAGTGTTTGTGGTTGTTCTTTGTACAGATGAGTCATCAGTAGGACTGTATTAGAAAGGCTGCAGTAATAAACTGATTGCATGCTCACATGGTATGAACCAAGTAATCACTGGAGTCCAATGTAAATGCAAATATTTTCATAAAAATGATTTAAAACATTAGCCCTGTTGGAAAACAGGGGGGTTGCATGTGCATATTCCAATGAGCTGAAAATATGACTGTGATGCAGGTCATTAAGATAGCAGATTTGCAAGGATTCTTCTCTGTATAACAGCCATGTTCTCTGCTTTCTTAAGATATCATTTCTTGCTTCTTTGCTCATTTGCATTAGTTAAACAGTTTCTATCAATGCATTTCATTTAAACAAAAGTTGTTGCTTCAGCTAAGGGGTAAGCAGCAATGGCAGGTGAAAGCAGAAATTGACTGATAAGAAACAGAAATGTTTAATATATCTGAAAAAGTTGTCTTAACTCTCATTTGTTTTCTGAATAAAAAGATTAACTCAAGTATGCAGACATTTTCTTTCCTTTCATGCCTAAGTTCCTTACCTGAGGAAGTAAAATATTTTGAAGAAAGACTTTGTCGAGATGGGAATGTTGCTTCTGTTTTTCGAGACCCTCCAGTATAATGCAAGAATTCTATACCTTTTTTGTGCTTATTTGTATTAAAAGAAAAGAAGACATTGGCTAGTTGTTAAATTTGGTGCAAAAAATTCTCCTAAATTTAGATTTCATGTTACATACTTTATGCAGAGGATAAATATGCAAGCTTTAATTGAGAATTCAACTTTGAAATAATGAAGTGCCTGCTTTCTGATGATTAGCTATTAAGTCTGTCTTTTGAAAACTTAACATATGTGAATCTGTGTGGCAACCTTTTTCGTTTCCATGATTTTTTTTTTTTAGCATACAGGACTGCTAAAATTCTTTGTAGTCTTGGAGGAAATTATTACCAGATTCTGAGACTTGTAAACTTTACAGTTCTGGAATTTCTGACTTAGTTGAAAATATATTTATTATTACTGATTTTTTTTTCTTCAGTGCTGAACTACTAGTAACATTTATGTGTATACAGCATTTTAAAATAATAACTTTTAAAATAATCTGTGAGTAAACATTTTCATTTTGTCTTTCTTACAAGGGATTATATTTATTTGTAACAAATGGGAAAAATTTTTTTATGTTGTTGCAATTCTGAAATTATTTAGTTTTAGGAAAAAGTGTTTCTTGGAAGAGCTGGATGCAGTCTGGGAATGGGAGATGAAGTTCAGTTGTAAATTTTTTGAAGCAAAGCTATAAGCTAAATAATTTGCATGTCTAAACTGTGCTTATAATTTTCCCTTCTGAAACAAAAATTCTCCACTGTAGCTAGATCTGGTTTTAAACGTTTTTCTATTACAGAAATAATTTTGCAACCTTTTGTTGTGTAAAAGTCTTTTCTAGTAAAATCCCCTACACAAGTTTTTCTTTCAACAGTCTTCATCAGCATGTTTGTCAAATTTGCTGGCTTCCAGGAGATGAAAATGTGCTGCTCATTTGCTATGAAAGTATCTACTAATAGAGGAGACTCATTAGAACAAGCCTTGCTTTTTGAAAGCATTAATCTAACTCTTGTTGAAAAAGGAGCTTCCTGGTAAGAGATACTATTCCTTGACAGATAAATCTGTCAGTAAATTCTTTGGTTTTATTGCCCTGGTTGTCATTAAGATACCACCACCTGGGGAATATTGCAGCATCCAGGAACATAATCAGGAATTCACACCGTTCTTCCTTTTGTCCAAAACCTGGACACATATTTTTGCATTTTTCTCAGCATTTGGAGTTACAGTTGGCAGTGTTGAATTCAAAACTGGTAGAGCTTTTTTAATTCTTAGAGTGGTACAGTTTAAGTTATGATTTGTACAAGTCAGGGCATGTTTAAATGCTACTCTTGCTTAAATCTTATTTTGGAAAATATCTTTCAAAAATGTTTTTATCTGTTGTTTCTTGAGACAGTCTTAAAAGTAATAGCTTCTATAAATTTGTCATTTTAAAATGTTCATATATGCCTGAAAATACTAAGAAATTATTGGAAATACGTATTTTCTTCAAAAATGTATTAAAGTGAAAAGAAGTTAAAAGTAATTTTAGGAACTGTGACTGGAGCAAATACTGTATTATCATGAGAAGACAGAATGCTTCAGGCATATGAACATCCTGAGGCAAAGCTGAAGGTATTTTAACTTATTGATAAGATCTACTCCTTAGGGCTAAAAATTACTATCATAAATTTTTCATTTCAGCATATAATATAAATTAGCTAAACTTTATATTAGATTGAACGAAAAGTGTACAAAAAAGTGAAAGTAGTATCTGAGCAGTCTCAGGAGTCTGAAATGCAGAATGACAGAGAATAAGCAAAGATTTCATGGCAAGCATTACATAAGCAGCACTGCATTTCGCTTGGCTTTGGAGGTCTGGTGAATCTCTTCATGCCAGGGGGAAATATCAGTGTGGGAGGGTAGGACCTAGATAGGAAGAGTGAGGGGAGTTGATTGGAGGAGTACTAAACATTGAGATGCTGAATAAATGCTCTGAGGTTTAAACAGCTCAAGGACAATGACAGTTTAAAAACGGAGTTCTGCATGCAGATTTCCTTGGATCACTGATAATGTCATTAACTTGTTTAAATTCTTTTGCTTTAAATATCTGAGGAATTAGGAGTTTTATTTACATCTGACATTTTACACTGTGAAAATTAATTAATAGTGTTTTATTTTCAGGTTAGTGGTGCAGTATTTGCATGCCAAGCACATCGAGGAATATTTCTTTAACAGTTTTATTGTTGTTCACATTTGAAGGCTTTCATTACCTTTAGTAGAAGTGTGTTTTGACAATGTTTAATTTGGTGGGGCTTTGCTAGAAATCAAACTAGCAGGAGAGTCAGAGAAATTACTGCAATATGCACCAAAGAGTCACAGAAAATAGGAATAATGTGTGACTTTACAGAGATTCTCAGTTTAACAATCAGGTCTGTCTCTTGCTTTAATTTGCAGAGGTTTTGGTCAAACTAGGGTTGGCTGTAACTGAGAGCAAGTTACAGTGTTTGTTTTGCTGTTTTTCTTGAAATAGTTTAATATGTGTTGAGAAAAGCACAAGATCAGGTACTTAATATTTTACTTACTTGCATGCCGTGTATTAGGATTTGCTTACCAAAAAGGAGGTGTAATACATGCTAGAGTAAAAATTAATATTGTGCCAATTAAAATAGCTAGAGGAAGGGAAAGTGTCTTAATTTTATTGCCTTAAAAATTATCTTACAAAGTCTCACTCTCAAGCATGAATACTTGCATGTGCCAAGAGAGCCAAGATGTATGTCCAAACCAATTTTTCTGGCATATGTTCTTACCATCCTGTGCTGGTCCTGTCCTTAATCTCCTAATCCATGTATCCTTAGAAACTGCCCACACAAATGTTGAAGGAAGTCAGTGACCTGCTAATCTGACTTCCACCAACACACACCTCTGTTCCAACCCTTGTTGTTTCCATTTGTTCTTTCTCCTGCTTCTACACCTCTGTGTACCCAAGTGTTCTTCACTCATACCAACCTTAACACTTTTGTTTTGTTTTTGTGCTAAGTGCTGCTGCTGTCATGTATTGTAGAAGTCTTGAAAGGAAAAGCATCACTGAGAATTTAAAAATATATGAACATATCTTTAAGAAGGATATTAAAATGGAATTCTGCAAACCATTTTAGTAAATGCAAGACTCTAATTGTAAGGCAGAAAGTCCTCTGTGAGTTTGTGCAAGTAATCATATAGATAGAACTAACTAAGAAAGAGGGGACCTGAAATCTTGGAAGTGAAATGAGGAAGAATAAAGTCCAGGTGGGTTTTGACATTTTGCTTGTCTGTTGGCAGGCTCTGGAAACAGGAGACCTGAGTAGCTGGAGGGAGCATGTGGTTGGCTTGAAGCAGACAGAAATGGTTGTTTTTATTAAATACCAATTCTAGGAGGCTGATAGGAAGGGAGGCCTGGCAAAGTGGGCAATATTCTGTCTTTCCAGTAACAGGTAGCATCCCTAACATGGATGGTAATGTAAGGTAATACTACAAGGGAAAGTGCTGAAGAAAAAACACTCTGTCCAGCCCTGTGTTGTTCACAAATGGAAGTTGCTTCCCTTTTCCACCCTCTTTCTTAGATATCAAATTCAAATATATGTCAATAAGTATAAAATCAGTACTGAAGATTTTAATTGAAAAAATATTTGGTAAAATCAGCATACTAGAAAATTGTTGTGTTAATTGCACTAAAGGAATATAAAGCTATGTAGCTGATTGTGTTTAGGGGAAGATGAGTAGATGAAAGAGAACAGGATTATGATTCCTGCTTGTTGTAGTGTCTTTAGTAATTTTGAACTGGGGAATATAGAGTAAGTGAGAATCATTAAGTGAAGTGTAGATTTTGTAGCCAGTGCAGTTCCATCAGAAACCATTGGAGGAAATGTGATGTGTTCAGTACCTGCATAAGCGCATGTCTAAAGATATTTTGAGAATTTTGTTTCAAAGGTCTTACCTTCTGACATTAAAAGTACTCTCTCTTCACCTTGGATTTAAATTTTGGATCATGAGATATGCTTATGGTGTACACATTAATTACAAGATTGGAAATTTTTAGTGGGCTGAGTGACCCAGTGATCATGACGGGTTTAACATCACCCTGAGCAAATATCATCCTACCTGCTAATAGATATATTTGATGTTTCAGAAGAGCTTCACTAGGACTTACTTCCCAAAAGCTGAAGGGTTGAAAATAAGCAGCAGTTCTTCAGAGTAGGCAGGAGGTGATGGAAAGTGAGATTCTTTTTTTAATGAAAAATAACAATCCCATCCCTCCTGGGAAAGAAAATAAACCCAAACAAAACAGGGTCCCCCTCCCCCCTCCAAATACCAAACTAAAAACCAGAAAAAACCGAAACTGAACAACTTAAAGGCCTGAAATACTGCTGTCTAGAGTGCAGATAAACTTGAAGGGAAAGGCCCAATCCAGTGTCTAGCAAAAGAAATGTTCATGTTTACATTATCCTAGGTTGTTCAGTCATATTTTATAGCAAACATGAAGGGATGAAGAGAAATCACTTCAGAAATGGTATGTATAAAATATTGATAATAAAAACAAAAGGGATGGATGACTGCAGAACAGAGGAGAGACTGAGAAACAGGAACCAGTCAATCCTCAGTGATTAAAGGAGAGATATGTGAAGAAATGTGTAGAAATTTTAATTTGAGTAGAAGGTGCTTTTTTGGGTGTTGTTTGTTTTCAGATTAGCTAAATTGAGCCAGTCACTCAGAAACTGTTAAGTCTCAGAAGTATGAAGACCATGCCACGTTTGTTTTGAAAGCATGAGAACTCATATTCTACCTTGCCATATGGCTCTATGAGATACATGGAGATCCATATACAAAGACAGCAGCAAAAACCTCTATCCTCAGCAGTCTGTTTAATGCAAACAAAGATCGGAGTGTCCCCATCATTCAGAGAGCTGTGCACTTCTGCCTGATGTTCTCTGCCCTGTGCTGGTTGGTGCCTTCCTCAGATTGCTCCTTCTGTTCCTATTCTCTTTCCTACATGCATGTCCGCTCGTTCTTGTACCCTTCTGCTGCATGTACCTTTATCCCCCTTTTGTTTCTGTTTCATGTCTCCTAAATAATCTTTTCCAACAAAACAGCAAAGCCAGGAAGGGCAATGTTTGTTGCTGTTGCTGTGTTTGGTCTCTGCCTGTGTGTTTTAAGTGTAATGAGTTTAAATAAAATATTATGAGGATAATAACTCCTCAAGCTGGTGAGCCTAGAGTTCTTCTCCAAGTCTAGGGGGTTAACTGGGTGTTTCCCTGACCTGGTAATGTTAACTTCTAATACTCCTAGAAAGAGAAAAGCATTGATCTCTGCTAACATTTATAACAGCCAAGCCTTGTTAAATTATATGGCAGTTAAACTAACATCCATTACTGTAATGGAGTAATTCATAAAATATTTATTTGTTAGCAAATTAAAAGCTAGATGTATAATAAGTGGTGACTGACAAAGTTTTATGGAAAATACCATCATTCAAACAAACCTGATAATTTGTTGATGAAAGAAGCTGTGTGAATGTATTGTTAAGGCACTCATTAAATAGAGGAATTGGCTAATTAGTAATCAGCAATGTATCCATATATCTCTACTCTGATTTCCAGGGGATTTCCATCCTGCATTTCTCCATAACAGAGTTGAACTCTATTGCTGGTCTAAAATAGCACTTAAATGTTTAAATACCCGATGTTAATTGTTGTGAATTGTGTCATTTCAGCTCTGACATTCCCACAGGAAGGCTTACCAGTCTCTGTGAATTCACTGTAGCCAGTATGAAAACTGCTTGGTGTTTGATTAAACTCTGACTTTAAAAGCTAAAATAGAGTCTAAATAGAGACTGCAGAGTTAAAAAAACAGTGGAGGAGTAGACTTGAAGACTATACATGGCAGAACTCCTGTGGCTCTGGGGCTTATGTCTCCCCTTTCGTGTCTCAGATCCTCTCTTTGTTTCTGTTTGCTTAGGCTCATAGAAATGTTGGATGTTAGGGACCTCTGAAGGTCGTCTTCTCCAAGCTCCCACTTGAAGTGCCAGTGTCCCCAGCGCTAGATCAGGTCAGTCAAGGTTTCAGGTGACTCTTGGAAACATCCAGGGATGGAGATGCCACCCTGGAATCTCCTTTTCCCCTCTCTTTTACATAGGATCTGCATAATCCCACTAAGGCCATGCAATATGTAAAGTGAAAGGAATAAAGAAAGGTGATGATGGCAAGTATGACTTGAGTGAGTAACAGAAAAGTAAGAAAAGGAGGCAGCTTGAATACTTGTATCTTGAAAGATGGATTTCAAGTCTTGGGCTACTGTTGGTGTCATTGAGGAATGCCTCCCTGAATGTGTCTTCTAAGACCAGCAGCAATTTCATCCTAAGCTTCAGCATGAGCAAGCTTGGGAAGGCTAATAACTTTTTCCTTGTAACAATAGTAGTTTTTGTGGAAGCAGGAGCCTTATGTCTGTCTGGCATTTCTATTGCATTAGTTACTCAAGAAGTAGTACTAACTTCATGGTGGAAGTGTCAGAACCTGAAACTGCTTTGTCTGCAGGAACATTTCTGTAGGATAGAACTGGTAAGAGAGCAAATCAGAATATTTATTAAGAGAAACTAATACATGCTCTTTTACAAGTAGCTCCATTATTCTAAGAAGTAACATGGGAAACTCATTACGGCCTGTAGTTTAAGAAACTAGTTTTTGTACTGGAGGAACTATCAAAATATAACATAAGCATGACAAATGTGCGGGTTTTTTATCTTACTAAATATCAAGCTTACAAGCCTAGTGGTTAGTTTATTCTTTGGAGATTATCTTTGAAATGAAAAGGGACTAGGTTTGAGTTTTTGGTTAAAGCTTGGAGTAGAGATAAAAGAGCTTGAGTTTCTGACATAAGGTCTCTGACAGGAAAGCAAAATATAGAGACCATCAAAGTTTGTGAATTTTGGGTCTTTTGTCATATGATATATTAATTTTTTTATAATTCCAATGAAAGTCAAGTATTCCTCAGGAATTTGTGTTCTAGAACAGCTAGCAAGTGTTGATTCTGGCTTGTTAATGAAAATAATGAGATCTTTTTTTTCTGAAAGTCTTAAAACACTTCTGAATATTTCATGCATTTAAAAGTATTTGTTTAACCTCATTTTTACATTTGCAGATTTTTCCGAGATAAATATGAAATTATTGGTGTAAACTTGCAGGCCATTGTCAAAATTGGCTTTTGACTGTTTAAAAGCTTTTCAGACATTTTCAGTGTTTTACTTTGCTCCATTGTCTCAGAGTTAATATTAAGAAAAAGCATGTTCTGACTTCCTAAACCAAAACATGATTTTCAAGGCTAGTATCTTTGTGGTAAGGAATTATTTCCTGGTTTATGTGGTTAAAGTTTTGAAAGTATTCAGACTCTCACCTGAAAGTTTGTTAATTTTTCACTTAAAACGTGGGGTTCTTTTACAGGTTCCTGAAAGTCTGTGGCTCTGAACTAGTACGTCTTGAGTTGTCTTGTGGCCATTTCCTCAATGAAACATGCTTGGAGGTCATCACTGAAATGTGTCCAAATCTTCAGGAATTAAATCTCTCATCATGTGATAAAATACCACCTCAGGCTTTCAACCACATAGCCAAAGTGGGCAGCCTGAAGCGTCTCATTCTCTACAGAACGAAAGTGGAGGTAAGAACAGCTATTTTTAACCCTTGCAATAAGTATTTTCAGTCCTGATAAAGTTGGTTTGGGATTTGGTTTTTTTCAATAACGAAGAAGTAAATTAGAATTTTGAATGTAAATTCAGAGGCAAATTCAGAAAATCCGAAGGTGGTTTCAAAAACTTCAGGATGATTTTTTAATTTTCAAAATAGCTTTTGGCCTGCATGTTTTAACTTTCCTGGTAGGTTGGTGACTTTCCACCAGCTGTTTTAAGCAATGTGGTAAAATTACAATATAAAATCTTTTCTCGTATTTTGAAGCGTACTCTAAACAAACTGTATTGGCAAATATGATTGTAAAATTATTGTTTAGTAATTTTCTGTAATTCTCAATGTTCTTTCCTTTAAAATGACTTGATAATTAGTAGATTCCTACAGTCTTTGTATATTAGCAGTATTTGAGACACAGGAGTTTTTTCTACGACTTCTTCGTTTATTGTGTAAAACTGACTTCTTTATATAGTACTTGACTGCCCGAATCAGAGTTGTTGCTTCTTGCTGCATCACATTTCCTCTCTAAGGTGGCATGGGTTTGTGTGCTACAGCAGAAAAGTCTTTTGTAGTTTGCTACATTTTACAAATGTTGTATCCTTAGAAAGTCAGCAGCTTGAATCAGAAGAATTCCATTCCCTCTCAGTGAGTGAATTACTCAATGTATTACCACCTTACTGCCATGGTTTACCTGGGAGCTGTCCTACTTCTGTTGTTGCAAAAGCTGTGCCAAAATGGGGCAAACCCATATCTCTGCAGGCTTTTTCCTAGCTTCTAATCCTAGATTAAGCATTTTAAGAAGAGTTTGGTTGTGTGTGTGTATTATTTGTGCTTATGGTACACAGAAGTCAGGCTGTGACATTGGATTGTATGGGGTCTTAATCTGTAATGTGATGGAAGGAATGAAGCTGGAACACTAGGTTCTGTCAACTAGATGTGCAAGGGACCTCTGAAGTTAATACTGTGATATTGCATTCATAAGCAGTTCATACCTGACACATGTGTCAGAGTTAGTTGGGTCTTGTTCTTTATTTGGTGAATCCTAAGTTTGTTTGTGCCCAAGTTCCAGCTAGGTGTCTGTATGGTGAGTGGGTAACACAAGGTAGTTGGATTGAAGGGTAATCTACCTGGTGTGAGTGGTGCTTGTTGTAGGGTTTGCTGTGGAGTGTGTGGACAGTCACTGTGAAGCCAGTGCCCCTCAGTAAGTTGTTACTTCGTGGCAGCTGCTCTCTGTATTGAAGCAATTATTATTTTCTTCAAACCAAAACGAAAATTGATGAGCGCTGCATTTTATGAATAGAGCTGTATTGGAGCCTTGGGTGTATCTGTTCTGTCTCTATAATACTAGTCTTTCTGTTAATCTTGGATAGATCTCTTTACTTCATTTTGACTGTTGGCTCTGATTCACAAACCTTTTTCAGATCCAGGAAAGGTCATTGTATCGGAGGTAGTGATTGTGTAATTTTATTATTTTTTACTGTTGATTGATTAGAATCTTTTTGATTCTACTCAGGTAACTTCTGAAGTTTGAGACTTCATGCTTGTAATAGTGCAGCAGGTGAAATGTACTCTGAGGTGATTGGTAACTGTCATTCCTCTGCTATCACTTTGCTGAGCAGAGCTTGAAATTAGATTGAATGTAGGTGGTAAATATTTCCTGACTTTGAAGACATTACATTGGGAAGATTCACTTCTGCTTTTCATGTGTATGGACATGCCTCTGCTTTTAGCTGACAAGAACAGGGAAAGAATGAAGATGTGACACAGGATTTGAATTAGAATAACAAAAGTCACAGATTTTTAGAAATAACATTATCTTTCTCAACATGAGCTTCTCTTAGTGCAAATCTTTTGGTTATCTGTACAAAATAGGCTGCCATTCCTTCTGTACTTTTCAGCTGGTACACAAATGCTTGTTAGTAAGTGGTGGCTATATGCAAAAAAGGATAGATTGATTGAGCATGCTGTCGAGTGATTGAGACTTCTCTAAAACTTGTCAAGGAGCTGTTCTTGATTTTTGTGAAATTTCTACTGCTGTCTTCGTTGCTGGAGCTTCTGAGGAGCATGTAGAGAAACAATGGTAATGATTAATCAAGAACTTGGCATTGTATTGTTGCCAACTTGATCTGCTCAGTGAAAAGAATCCAAGGCTGTGAATCTACTAAGAGAGAAATGCAAGCTGATAACAAATATGTATTTATTATGAGAAAATAACAAGGTGAGAAGAACAGAGCTGATATATTCTGTTCAAGTTCTATCTCAAAACCCAAGAAGAAGAAACCAAAAGAACAATCTGTTCATTTCATTTTGCCTGTTTTCCTAAATAATTCGGGGGCTTGTTTTTTTTTCTTAAACCGAGCAATGAGCAAAATAAACCACAAAATTTTCATGTGTTAGAGCAGGTCTGGGTAAATAGTACGATTTTTTCTTTTGTTTGTGGATTTGGATGTGTGATTAAATAACATAGGAAGAGATGAAGATTCTCCATCCTATTTGTCACTGTGTGATAATGCTGTTTCTGGTTTTTCATTATGCTTAATAAAAAATACAGAATTAACATTTTAATAAAATAAATGGTATTCTCCCATATACTCTTCCAAGTACCTGCCCAGATACAGGATTTTCTTGTGCAGTCTAAGTCTTGCTGTAGCCTTTCCCTTTACTTTTTTGCCTTTTAATACTAAAAAAGAGGACAAAAAGTTCTTTCAACATCTAAGTTTAAAGTATTTGTTATACTTTTTCCATGTATATGATTTCTGTGGCACTAATAGATAAATTCTGAGGAAACACTATGCCAAAAAATCGACTACTATTAATGATTTTTTTTTTTTAGGTGCAAAGATTTTGAGGACAGTGGAAACTTAATGAAATTGATACCATTATGTTGTCTGAGCAATTGTGATTGCAGTTTCTTCTTATTTTAGCTATTTTCTTCAAATAGGTTTGGTATTTAAAGATGTTGCCATTGTTTCTGTAATCAAAGGTCTAGTTTTTATTTAAGTGTATGTTTTTAGTGAAATGGCAAGGCTGGTGTTTTGCTGCTTAGTGCACTACTACTTTGGAAGATTGCTATACCATCTGGAGAATATTGTAGTCTTTGGTCTTAGCCCTGCTGATTCTTAAGGCCTTTTATAATGTTATTTCTTTGACATATTGAGTGTGAGGTTCTGTGTATAAAGTTGTTTTCTAACCTCTGAATTGAAACTTGCAATGCCTTTGAATTATTTCAACGTTTCTGTTAAAAGGAAGGAAATTCCAGTGACTTTCAGTAACTTTTCAGTTACTAAATAAGTGTCCTGCATGGCTATCCTCCTCCCCACCAAATGTGGCTCATTTTTCCAGGGCTCTAAGTCCATTAATAAAGGTTCTCAAAGGTTGTTTGATTATGTATATGCTTGAATAATTTGTATCTTGCTTTGAGAAACTAATCTCAACTTTTTATAAGTGTAATTTCTTTGTGCTCAACACCACTATTATACTTGTGGGATTTTTGTGCCAGTGGTTTTGGTATTTACTGATATATAACTCCTTAATGTTTATTTATTGAGAGTGTATTCACAGCATAACTTAAGCACTTTTTAGCATTGATACCTTTGAGGAATACAATGAACAAGGGAAGTATTATTGTATACAGTAATCGACAATGCACATCTTTATCCTTGAGCATGAATTTTATCTTAATTTAATGCTTATTTTGAGTTATTTAGTCCATATAAATAATGCAGCCAAAATTGTATTTTGAAGAGACCAAAGCCACAATTACAGTAGGAGAACTTGTCAATCTTCTTATTGATGGATGTAAATTTTACTGTAGGATTATATATTTCATGTTCCATGATACTCTGAAATCTAGAAAGATTTCAGAATGTAAAGAAAAAGATTTTAAAATTTGTACTGCAATCATATTTGAGATACAAAGTGAACTAAATTCAAATCTAATTACAATAGGAAAAGACTTTGTTTTTCACAGATTTTAAAGCAAATGTTATGTTTATTGGTTTTTATTTCTGATAATTTTGACCAAAAGCAAATTTGGAACTTGGACAGCTGCAGGAGAGGACACTGGAAATCTAGTATAGCAAACAGAAGCAGAAGAATTGCAGCAGTAAATGTAATAACTCTTCTTATGCCACGAGCAATATAACAGTTAACACTGCCATAAAAATGTTCTGCAGAGTTTTCAGAAATAACCTGTTATGGGTCATGTCATACTTTTGGGACCTGTTGTTTAAAAGGTTTTCAGTTTGGGCAGAGTTCTGTTGGCTTGGGTATGAATCTTTAAGATGAAGAATTGCAAGCAAATAGTGGGGGAAAAAAAGGTGAAAGACTCTAGCTGGAATGTGGATTCTTAGAATCAAGTTGAGTCAGTGACAGTTAATTGTGCAATACAGGACATTGATGGTGCTTTTTGATTTCATGTCAGACTCACAGCATGGAATTTGGTTGTTTGAGCCTGTAATGTGAAGTGAGGGGGAATAACAAAGGTGTAAAACAGATTTGCAGACATAAGGGAGGACGTAACTTGACCAAATAAAGCAAAATCAAAATACAGTAATTTAATTAACTGCAGAGACTATTACTTTCATTGAATTAATTCAGTAATTGCTGTGTCCCAGTCCCTACTGTGCCCCTGGCACTACCAAGTAGCCGTAGAGAACAAAAAGGTGCCCCTGTATATTCTGAGTCCCAGCTTGCAAATTATACTGGGTCTGTTTCTGAAGAGCTGAGTTGTTCTGATTTTTGAAAGGCTACACCTGCACTTATTAATAAACTCATTCCACCTTTTTCTTATGTTATCTCATGCTTACAAGTGCTCATACTGCATCAGTGTTTGTAAATGTGTCGTAAAGCTTTGGAGACAGAAGTTTTATCACTGTCTCAAAAGTGATATCTCAAAAATGTTCCTATAATCCATGTGCATTAGGGGGAGATGGAGAGCTGAGTTTTAACGATTGCATTTCAGTTGTCTCCCTTTTC